GTGGACCGATGGGCCGGAACACTCCAATAATGAAACGCATCTGGGACCCATCTGTGCCCTGCTCCACACTTTTATCTTCAATGGACGAAAAACACATTTTAAATGGAGTTCATTGTCTAACGTTTTAGAAATGGTCTACCCTTTAAATTTCTGATGAACACTAACTTAAAATAAGTTAAAGGGTGTATTTGTAGTATACGATCATTTGATCCTGAAACTTTTCAAACACTACACACTAATCGTTAATCGTTTGATAAGATTGACAATTTTCCATTATATTCATTATTATCCTCTTAAGTATTCTTAATCATTTTAAAAGATCAAATATATTAGGTGCTCAACCTTCTTCAATACAATTTTTATTGAATTATACTCTTAGAGAATACGATTTGTCTTGATATTTTAATATTACATTGCTATAAAAAGTAGCGATGAGACGGAGACTATTTGAGAGAACTTCAACGTGATCGTTAAACGACACATAAAAGTTTGTTTTAATTGCTTCTCCGATCGCTTCTAACACGGATTCATCTCCTCAATTAAATGGTGTCTTGAAACTGGAAACTGCATTAGTTGTAACAAACTAATATGTTTTATGTTTTATACATCTCCACTTCATTAAGATACACCATGTGTAGTTTATAACGTAAATCGAACATTTTAACAGTGCAAGGACATGCCTAAATGTTTATTTTAATACAACTTCGTTTGCGTTACAATTCTTTGAAATTCATGTTTTTTGTTTTACTAATTACGGACCTCTAATACTGTAATTCATTTGACGCGCGTAATTCTTCGCGCGATAATCACATTTCCCGGGATATCAGCTGACCGCAACTCAATTTTGTACTTCCTGTGCAGAAGTAAGTTTTTTATAAAACCGCGGAAGATGAATTATGTACGGAACAACCGACGATGCGTCAACGACAGTCGCCACATCGCCACATCCTGCCACGGAGGAAAGCACTCCGGAGTTATCGGGAGAAAGATAATTAACGACGCCAAGTATAAAAACTTTATCGTGAAAAACTTCGCAGGCGGATCTCGTTTCCTTTTTAATCATCGTTCTCGTTCCGTGATAACCGGGACCCTCTCCCAAACAATGGACCCGAATAGACAATGCCCACAAGGCTTTGCGAGTAATAAACCAATGTTACAATTGTATTTAAACTCTCCGGAACATATGGAAACAAAGTGGCTAAAACAATTAGAATTGTAAGACAGATTGATATACATTGATTGTAAAGTAAATGAATGTATAAAATAATTTGAAAGAGAACGGCGGTGTCCCCCCGGGCTTTTGGGGACTCTAGAAAGAAGTGTAGTGATCCCCACCGGTTTTACCATGAATACTACGATAAAAGCTATACTGTAGATATATTCGCTGACAATAACTAGCCTGTAGACGGTGTTCGGATCGGTTGGTTGTGGCTGGTGTGAGGTAAAGGTCAGGCATTGTAGTTAGGATGGCAGTCACGGCGCGCGAGTCAGCCTGGCATTTAGGCTATTATAAAGGAGTTTCAATAAAACCCGCCGCGCCGCGGCCGAGGCCGAAACATGATGAATTGCCCGGCGAGAGAAAATTTAATTTTAATTTCACGCATCAACTTTTATCCCGGATTCACATAGAAATCAGCTTCAATACCGAGAACATTGATTGTTGATGTTGAGTTGTTGCGTGGTGTAAAGTTGTTGTGAAATATAACTCGAATTCGGAAAAAAACTATTCGATGTACAAGTTAATATGATTTAAAACAATTGTCATATCGAATGGTACAATTGATGCAGTTCTTGTAGCCCAGATTTAGCATGTGAGTGTGGAGAATGCGGCAGTTCCCATGACGTCAGCAGCAAGTGCCAAGTGCCCCCATGTGGCTGGGCTGCTGTTGGCTGTTGGCTGTTGGTGATGGTTCGCACATGTTCTGTCCCGCCAATTATGTTTATTGCGCCGCATACAGAGAACCAAACCTCTCACACACTCACACGTGACTTCATCTCCTCGGTCCTGGAACTACTTACGATCTCAGGCTCATACTTGTGTAACAGCTGTGTATCGTTGATGACAGACATAGGGTTTCAGCGCTGTATGTATATACACTATACAGCATACTTTAGTTAGATAGAACCTTTGATTAATGTTGTTGCTAGTTTTAGAAATTGTGCCACCCTGACGTTTGCACTGACGTCAGTCACTGATCCCATCACTGATACAGCAGTTACTTAACCGAGCCGAATCGAAAATCAACTTCCTACTATAAACTATTGCAGATGAAATGATCACATGCAATCTATGCGTCGATCATTTAAATATTTTCTATTGGGACACGACTATGGCTGGTCCATATAGACGGAATACACAGCTTCTATCCATACTAAAGTACAGGGTGTTTATAAAAAAACTTTACAACTTTAACATTCTCCCATTCATGATCCATGGGACATAAACGTTTCCTATTGACACCACATGAAAGGGCTGCTCAAAAAGTTTTAATCAGCTGGCAGTTCAATCAGCTGATGGCCTTACATTGTTGTTTGGTAAACAAAAACAAATAATTGAAAAGTCTCAATGGAAGCACGAATCAAAGCGCAGTGTGTGGAGTGGTTCATTGAAACGAAATCTGATGTTGTTGTTCAACGGAGATTTCGGACAAGATATAATAGGAATCCTCCTTCAAGACCCACAAGATCAGGAGAGCGTTTGATGAAATAGATCATTCAATTTTGCGTCGTGTTTGGTCAGAACTGGAATGTCGACTTGATTTTTTGCGAGCAAACAACGGGAAACACATTGAAGTTAGGTAAACTTCTTATCACGTAAATAAAACTTGAGAAAATTTCCTAAATTTTAATTTTTGTTTCATAGCTGTAAGTGAAAAAATAAAGGTTTTATGATTGTTTAAAGTTGTAAAGTTTTTTTATAAACACCCTGTATTTTAAACCAACAACTCTATCAACATATTTATTTATATCACTAAATCGCATGAAAGTTTCAGTTTGCTACACACAGCTTCGTATCGCCAGTTGGCCTGATCAGCCACCGCAGCCGTATTCGCCATTTATTCCCAAAAAGCCGGCGAGTGATGAGGGTAGAAAACGATTAATTCCGAATGAGTAATGGCTAATTCATCCGCAGTCGCGTGTGTTTGAGAAGTGTTCTCGCCCCAGTAGTGCGAGGGAGGGAAGCTCAATGTAGCGTAGTGACGTTGTGGTGACGTCAAATCCATCAACACATAGTGATATATACAGGGCTAACATACACATGGCTGTTCCCAAGTAACAAAACTCATCGCGAACTCGTACAAATCCATTTTTTGGTAAAATAAACCATGTGAAATAAAATGTTGTGCGAGTGTGCCGAGGACGGTTTTATGCACAGCATTGAACGCAATGTAAATGCCGTAAATGTAGCTAAGATGGCGGGAGGAAGGGACATCTCGGAGTCTCGGGCAAATGTTATTGTGTCGGACAATGGGCCAACTGTCATGGGGGGAGGGGGGGGGGGGTAAGATCACTTTATGCTGAATATGCCAAGGGCTGGGGCTGGGCCTCGACGTTGCATCGTCAGTCTACGATAAACCGTTGTTTAAAATGTTCCTGATTACATTATGTAACTTTGGGCTAAGATGAAATTCATTTACCGTTTGGAAGGTTTTATGTTTTAAAATCATTCATGTTTGCCTAATATTACAATTTATGTAACCAATGTAAATTGTAAGAGTTTTGTGAAGATTCAGGATAAAAATTCGTAAGATCGATCAATGGTAGGAGTATAATTGAAATGTAATGTAAACATCTAATTTTCTGATAAAAAGAGGATATTGTTTAATTTGGCTTGTTAGTGTTACAAGTCTGTTGTTAGTGACTGGTAATTAACAGATATTGATGATAACTTAAAATGAATAAGTAGGTATCACTTTTGAAGTGTTCTATTATTTCGTTAAAATAAGGAATGGAGCTACAGCTTACAGATCATTGATTTAACTAACACCACTAGATTAAACATCGTGTTTTTAACTAGAATCCTCTTTAACGAGAAGTTTATTCAGTCCAGTTTAATTACGACATCATGAAAACTAATCCTAACGAGACGTTTCTGGAACAGAAACAATAAAGCGATTTAAAGAGCCAGCCATCGCATCGCAGAGATATCAAAATGAATTATTCAAAGTAGAGGCACAAGGCGCACGACACGCGGACGTTATACAAGTCGTTTTAATGACTTCCATTACAATTAAACTGCACATTAGAGGCAGAGTTTGAGACGGGCTCTAGTCTCTGGTCTCTGGTCTCTGGTAGCGATGGGTCGAATGATATCATTAAAGGACAAGTGAACTCGTTACTTGTATTGTTGATGGTATCAGAAACTCTCCCCCTCCCCTCCCCTCCACATCTCACTGCCTCGCTCTCCTGCTCGTTTGTACTTTCTTCTGAATGCGGAATTTACTTTTCACAATATTACAATTCTCTGTGACTGCGTGTTGTTAAAGAAAACAAATGTCTCGGCAAACGATGTGATTCTTTCTCAGGTACCTACAATTGGGGAAATCTGGACTTCCTGTTCTATGGTTTAGAATATCAAAGTGATATAAATTCTGTAGTATTTATTTCTCTTAACAAGTACAGACTAATCTTTTCTCCAGTATTGATTGATTATTCTCTTTATTTGAATAGGCCTATAGTTAATGCAACTTTATGTGATAATTATGTTCATCTACAATTTATCAGGAAATAAAACACACGACGCTACTTAAAACGTGAACCATAAACTTATTCGCTACTTAGTTTAATTTACTGCCCAATTATTCAAGTCGCATTAATGACTGGCAGTAAAACTGATGAAGTAATAACAACAAACACGGTGTGGGGGAGTGAGTGGTGGGGGTGGGGGTGGTATTGGGGAAGGGAACGTCAGTTTACGAGGGACACTATCCAGTTGTGTATCATGTATAGCATCAAAGATGGATGCTGCGTGTATAAGGGATGGGGTTTAAAACACTCACCATAAAGACGGGCAGACGTGGGCTCCGTGGGCGCCTCCCAGCACGGGGCTGCAACATCGGGAACAACATTAGATACAGCAACAACAGCAGATGTAGCATAATAAATAAATGCAAATACATCTACAACTGTAGGCCAAATATGAAATAAACGTTTTGAACGGTAGCAGCGGTGGCAACGGTAGGGTGTGGGGTTGTGGGGTTGTGGTGTCCTCGTTACGTCAAGTGTCAGCTGTGTTTGGTATCAGTCGCACCTGACACAACAGTCTGCCGCTGATTGGAGCTCTCACACACACATGTGACAACGGGACAGTACCGCAGGATCTGTACGAAACTGAGGAAAACTAAACACTAAAATATAGCCTACTATACCTCTCCCTGGACATTCGCTTGGTTTCTTTACACATTGGATCCAGATTTACCGAAAACTGTGACAACGTACTGTATAGGATCTTCAAAAATAGAAAACGTTTTATATTTAATTACCTGATAGGTTAACAACAAAGTTACTTAATAGTCCGTTTGGGTGTTACAGTATTTGCAATAAATAATCTCAAAGGGTATACAGCTAAAACCAATGACAATTTTACTTCAGTACCAATATAAACCTTTTATGTTAACACCAAATACCATAAGCTCATATGTGCAAATTCAAGAAACTTCATAGTCGAAAGTATTGGAACCATTGGAGGTATTACAGAGATGTACGATGAGTTATGGACTATACAGCAATGGGCAGTGACAACGTCTCACCAGTGTCATCACACAGGCCTAAAAACAATGGATGGGTCAGGCTGAGCCACTGTTGCCAGAGTTGCCAATTACAGACGCCAGCCACACAATGACACAATACAGCTAATGAAGGAATTCTAATGATCTGATAGGCTGATTAATTGTCTACAGACACCTACACACTTGTCCCATCAGAACCCAGGCTGTTGGCGTTGTGGGCAGGTCCAACAATAGGGTGTAAAGTACTCGATATAATGCAGTGTTTCATCAAATTTATAAGAACACGGAATAATCAGATTAGCAGACTAAAAGTTTTCATCTTATAAAAATGGAATAAAGTTGTTTTTAATTAACTCCTAGCGCGGTTTATTGTTCAGGAGAGAAACGGTGCTCGGTTCCTTGACCCTATCACTGTTTATCACCCGCATACCGCCCCCATACACCCATGGGGGCCTGCGTATCACCATCACCACCCATGGGGGCAGGGCTGTACGCTGTAGTCGTAAATATCTAACAGTACACAGTGTTATAGTGTTTCAATACTCGGGGTGTAAAAGCTCGAGTAAATAGTTATTTGTGCAACTAGTGAGAAAAGTGAGCAATTGACTCACTCGAGAGAAATCCTTACTCACGAGCCGTAGGCGAGTGCGGAATGGTTTCTCGAGTGAGGCAATTGTACTTTGAACTCGAGTTGCACATTATACTTTTCCTACAGTTACCACAAAACAAATAAATTTGTGAAGAAACATAACCTATTTTTACACAGAAGTGAACTTTTAATATAACATTTAATGTGAAGTGACAAATACAACAGTACAACAGCTGACCAGCTGATTTACAGCCAGTGCTGCCAACGTATTTCGCGCGCATACGACGTTGCCTGCATGTTACGCGCTCACTATTTCGTGCCTTCACGTTGCAAATCTGGAGTGAGACAAAGTAATTAGAGTGAGACAATGTTAACATTGTCTCACTGATCAGCGAATTGGCCACTTTGCTTTCTCAAATCAGTGAGAGAACATGTACATTGTTAGGTAACTGTAGGAAAATGATATTTGACTTAATAGCAATATCAAGACTAGCTTTCCATCTTAAATTTATGTTTAGGCGAAATATGATTTCATAAAAAACTGCTATTTTGATTAAAACTAAGAGTAATATTTAATGAAAACCTAAATTGCAATTTAAAATAGTTAAACAATGTGCACTATGTTAACAATGAAACTGTAAACTATATGCATTAATAACTTATCAACGATCACTAACCAGCAGTAAAACACTCACTGAAGAGGGTAATTGTAGTATTTTTATTTCTCTGAAATACCTCCTACTGGCAATTCCGATTCTAAATTGAAAACGATCAACACACCGCGCCCGGTATAAAAAGCCATTTCGACCGTCGGGTAAAAAGCGAGCTGAGTCGCGCTGACGAGTACAAAACGCACGCCAGTTGAAAGCACCGCAGCTGGAAATAAAAACCGGACAAAAAGGGACCATAACTAACAGGAAAGAGAGAAAAGGCAGCGAGAGAGGGAGGGATAGAGAGCGACAACGTGGCGCATCAATCATGGTAACCGACGGTGAATAAATGATTCAGCAGCACTAGCAGCGGTCTGCGATGGTGTGGTACAGTAGCATGGACACACACGTGTTGTAAACGTAAACTACCCCACCATAGCTGTAGATGGGCATGGGCAGCGAGAGAGGGAGAGAGATAGAGAGCGACAACGTGGCTCATCAATCATGGTAACCGACGGTGAATAAATGATTCAGCAGCACTAGCAGCGGTCTGCGATGGTGTGGTACAGTAGCATGGACACACACGTGTTGTAAACTACCCCACCATAGCTGTAGATGGACATGGGCAGCGAGAGAGGGAGGCAGAGAGCGACAACGTGGCGCATCAATCATGGTAACCGACGGTGAATAAATGATTCAGCAGCACTAGCAGCGGTCTGCGATGGTGTGGTACAGTAGCATGGACACACACGTGTTGTAAACTACCCCACCATAGCTGTAGATGGGCATGGGCAGCGAGAGAGGGAGAGAGATAGAAAGCGACAACGTGGCTCATCAATCATGGTAACCGACGGTGAATAAATGATTCAGCAGCACTAGCAGCGGTCTGCGATGGTGTGGTACAGTAGCATGGACACACACGTGTTGTAAACTACCCCGCCATAGCTGTACATGGGCATGGGCAGCGAGCAGTTGTGTGGAGGTTAATGTATATTAGTTACAGCTGCGTTGCATTGTGAAATGTACATAAATAGTTATTTGTGTAACTAGTGGTGAAAGTGGCACTTTGCTGCACACTAGAGCAATGTTTACTGTTTAACACTGATCTCGAGTGCAGCAAAGGCCTTTTTCACTCGTGTTACACATTATATTTTTCCTACAGTCACTATAAAGCATATAAATAATTAGTCTTTCAAACACCATACAACACTTTTTTAGGTTCAGCTGGCAACACAAATGGTGCCCTAGAGAAAGTAGTACCCGCAGTCCGTATCACTCCGCTATTTTTCCTCGGCAAGAAATATGCTCCGCGTTTTGAGAATATAGTTCCGTATGTTTTAGTAATTTGAAGTGGTTTCCGCGCCTAAAAAAATGCTTTAAAGGTATTTTCTTGTTTATTAAGATCGTAGGAATGTTTTAAAAACGTTTAAAAGAAAAGTCCAGAAAGTTCAGAAATACCGAAACTATAAACACGAAATGACAGGTTAAATCGTAGTTATAATAGTCAATCAGCTGCTCATAGAATTATTATCTTTAAGTGTTGCCAACCTATTTCCAAGCGTACACGGATTACGTGCATAATAGAACCACGCTGTTTTGTGTTGTTTGGTTGGAATCCTGATGTGCGGCAAAGTATAAACCGTACGGCAAAGTATAAACCGTACGGCAAAGTATAAATATGCAGCAATTATCAGCTTTCTGTACTATAAACAGTACAGGGAAGCCAACTTTGTCGGGTGACTGTAGGAAAAAGTAATTTAAAAAGTCACAGCCCCTAAAATGTATAAAACACCTTCATCATACAGTACAAAAACGGTTGAATGTTTTGCAGGGCTGATGTTTTTTATCTTGAGCCAGAGGCCAATCAGCCTTAACTGCCGATTCATCAATATGTAACTTCTATGATAACTAATTCTTTTGAATAACAATAATATTTTTCAAAACGAAATTTGCAGGTAAACAAATAAAAAAAAACTTTATATGTAAACTTGTATACTAAACAACTTGCATGTGCTTAAATACGTAAATTTAATGTACATTATGCCCAAACTCAATAGTATTCGTCGTAAGGACCAACAGAACCACGATCATCTCAAATAAGTTCAAATTTGACCCTGTCATGTGAACCTTGCAGTAAAAGCTCTTATGTGATGTTTGTTGTGTTCTAACGTATACAATCGTTAAATGCAGCTGAACACCCTAGTCGTGGATTACTATTGGTGTGGATTGATTCAAATGTATGGAATATTTTAAAATTTAAAAAAATATTCATCTTACACTCACACTCTGTCTTCAAAAAGAAAACACAATTATACTATAATGCAGTATGAATTTTGTAATCTTTTAAAGTGCATTTATCGTAGTACATGTAGTACTCGTTAACGATTTAAAACACAGACAATTAAATAATAACAATGTTTAATACATTGCGCAGAGTAGGCTATGTATGTATAATTACTATGATTACAATCAAACAACCCTGACTAGCACAAACACTTAGAACCGTATTACACATTACACCACATTATATTACTGTGTGTTATACAGTATCAGATGTACCAATGCAATACCCAGAACACCGTCGGAACTGAAATACAATTTATAACAGTCCATTTGATTTTATTGCCTCAATATGAATACAGTTCAGTGATATAACATGGGTTGGGAGGACGCGGAAATCGAAGCGTAATACTGCAGATTGAATCGTTCGCTGAAATTCTCTCCCGAGATTATCATAACTGATTGCCTGGAATTTTCTGCAATATCTTGCAGGAAAATTGCGTTTATTGGAAGTGTTCTGAGTTTCATTTTATTTTGGATTCATCTACGATTCAAAGTATACAGTGACTTTTAACCACACACAGTTACATATTTGGCCCTATACCAATTTATTTTCTCTTTAAAATTGGAGTTATAGATTGTTAATAGAACCCCAATCAGACAGAAGTGCAATTAGATAAAAGCGGAACGGCAGTAGTTAAAGTGTATATCTACGACTCGACAAGGTAAAAGTGTACGATAAGTATAACGCCAAGCAACTATTCCGAATGTTTATCATGTCCCTGTAGGGCCTCGCAGGG